ATGCAGTATGATCGGGTTCAGCTATCTGGCTTTAAAAAGTTACGATTTCGTACTAAAAAAACTTTTCAGATAGTTTTGTGATTGCTGAAATCAGAATTGTTTGAGTCCGAGTCAAAGATGGACACCAGCAAAGAGAAAATTCGCCTTATTTAACAGTTTTTCTTCGATAAATTTAAAAAGGCAAGACAGGTGGCCAAAAATGTAAATAGCGGTTATGATGCTGTCGCTGTAACAGCCAATCGCGCACAATTTTGGTCTCCTCGATTCACCCATAATTTTAATTTGGATCCGTACTGTTAGCAAATACACCGGCTGAAGGAAGCAATATCCCAGAAGTGGCCATCTGTAGTCAATAGGAGCGGCATTGTATTCCACCAGGACAACACCCGGTCACATATCGATAGGGACTAGGCAGAAGCCTCTGGAGCTTGGACTTGGTGCCAAGTAATTACTACCTGTTTCTGTCTATGGCGAATGATTTTGCTAGTGAAAAATTCAACACTCAGGAGAAGCTTGTGAAATTCGACTGTCCCGGTTTTTTCAAATATGAAAGATCTTTCCTATATGTGAATAGTAGCATAATAATTTAAATTATCAAAACAAAAATGGTGCATACTTAATATAATATAAATCGGATCGAGCTAACTATGCTAAATAAAACCTTTAATTAGATAAAAAAAATAACGAATTTCCTTTTCTCGACCTTTCGAAACTATTTCCAGGGAGAAATGATACTTAATCTTCAATTCACTAGAATTTCTTCCTTTTTTTGTAATAAAATCATATTTCTTTTATCCAAAAAAGTAGTTAATAAATATTTTCCGAACTTCTCGTAAACTTTTCAAGTCATCAATGTCCGCCGCAACGCAAAAGAATTTGGAAAGAAATGAAAATAAAAAAAACTTCATTATTCACTTAATAAAGTTTGCTGATTGATACAGAGATAAGTGTGCGGAGGGCGTCTGCTTGAGTGGCATTGAGCGCAGGTGGTTATGACCATGGCGTAGCGTGGCAACGGTTGCCCGGGATTCAAGGACAAAAGTTAATAATGTACAACTTCATAACGGTAAATTAACTAGCAGACATTTTCATTTAAGTTGTTGCATGCTACGCCCACTTTCCACTTCTGCCACAGAGTAGTTGTGTGTACGTGGTGGAGGGTGCCGATGGCTGAATGCGTTAGGGGGGCGCATTGCCATCATTTGCATTAATATATGCGTAATTCACTGATAATATCCGGTCGTCAAGCATCGCCAAGCGAGTTTGCGTCATTGCAATAAGTGCATAACCGTATAAGAATATATATTTATTTGTATTTGTGAGCAATTGAACCACCCTCTGATTGAATCTTTCCTCTAAACGACGCTGCTTTATATAAGCACTTCGAGCCTTTTTGTTGCTGCTGATTTAATTTGATTTGCGGATGGCCACGTCAGTGGGATCTCTGGCTGCGCGATATCTAAATTTGCATCTTGATTTAATGAGCACAATGATTTAGATTTTTAATGCGATGTAGAGATTGTTGTTACGGTGAATTAAGTGAAAAAAGGTGAATTAGAAATATTGAGAAGTTAAATACCTCAACCCAAACCTCCATACGTGTAGCAATTGCGGAGTACTATTAGAAGTATTCCTGTGGAAGAACCCATCGTTAACACCTTCCGGATTCTTCAATCTTGATTCTTTTGAAATAATTTTAGTTTTGCTAAGAACTAGCCATAAACAATTTCAAAATACAGAAATATAAAAGTCTCGGATTTTGAAATAATAGCTTCGAGAACATAGATATATACGTTGGGAGACGCTCGAAACCCCCAAAAATTCAAACGTCGAAGTCCCCAATATAAAAAAATCCCCAAATTCTTAAAGTAGTTCTTAGCGGAATAATTAAGGATACCCCGCTGCTGGAGCGGTTAGGTGTATTAATGCAGCCTAAAATTATGCTGTCAATACAAAAATGAGTGTTTTGGAGATTTTAAAACCGGGGATTTCAAGCCTATCTTTTATGAGCTATTCAAGCTTAGAACCTATGCTGTCTTTCTACTAGAAATGGTAGTAGACAGCTAATAATATCACAGATTTATTCTATGTACAACATACCTAATTTCGCTGTCTCTAGAGGTCCTTATACACATATAATACACTTTCATTGGCTCCGTCTAATAACCGATATCATAGTGGTAATGTAACTCTACATCAGTACCAATATATGTACGAATCGGTCTAGACCTTAAATGAATTCCACAAATATTTGTAAGAGGCTAACGACTTCGAAACATAATCTTGAAAATTGCGATAAATCAATTACTGCAAAGTTTGCAAACTGCTCTCCTTCGGGAGATAATTTTTCTTACAGTCATTTCAGAACAGAAAAATCCTCGGAGATTAGCAATATTTAATACATTTTCAATATTTTTGTATTAGTCAGGACTTTGCGATGCGACGGATGTTTTGACTGGTGTATTAAGAGTTGAAATTAACTCAACTCCAAAAAGAAGTGAAAACGCCCACCGCGGACAGTCGAAAAAAGAGAGCGAATAGAAATAGTACTTCTATTTCGGACTGATATTCGGTTTTAAAAAAGTTTTAACAGGATTGAGAGATTTTTTCCTTTCTTGTCATTATCCAGTCCAGTTCAAGACTAAATTCGAAACTGTGGTCATCTTCGACTAAGTAGTATAATTTCAGTGCTGATGGCGTTAAATAAGGTTTAAAAATATTCAAAGAATAAACTAACTGGTTTTACTGAACTAATAGATGAACCAGTCATCACAAAAATATACCTTGTCAAGGTTTTTATAGATTACGATCGTGGGCCATATTACGTCGAGATGACAACTACGCTTTATTCTTTGAAGACTATTAAAATATCGTCCTAATGCAAGAAACAACAATGTTATTAGTTGATAATCACTCAACTTTTCCGACCTGCTTCGAACTATACCGGAAGAGCTTCTATGATTCCTATATCTACATATAACGTCACCAAAATCATTCGCCATAGGCAGGAACAAGTTGGATACATAAGAATCTCCTAACCAAGCCACCGGAGCTTCTGACGAGGCACTTTCTATATGTGTGGCCTGGCATTGTCCTGATGGAACACAATGCCTCTCTTATTAGCCAAAGCTGATCGCTTCTGGGCGATTGCTGCCCTCAGATGGTGCAATTGTTGACAGTACAGGTTCGAGTTTAGAAGTAAGGGAGCAGTTCACAGCATGTGATCCCCTGCGAATTCCATCAAACTCCTGCTCACCTCGATTCGAGCACAACCTCTTTCGCTTGATATTTTCGTAAGTGATTCCTAACGATTTCTTGTGCAATGTTTAGCTCTTGAGCGATCGAAACAGTGTCTAGATAGCAATCGTACTCGACGATTGCCATTACTTTATCGATATTTTAACAATTGACATCAAAATTACCGGTAAATTTGGCTTGCGTTTTCATCTTTATCGAAGAAAAACTGTATGTCGTATTTTCTCTTTGCTGGTGTCCATCTATGGCTCGGGCTCAAACAGAATTGAGTCAAACAATCACAAAACTATCTGAATAGTTTTTTTTAGTAAAAAGTCTTGTATTTCTAACGCCATTTTACATATATAAGCCGATAGTAATTATACAAGGCGAGTTACAGATTACTAAAGATTTAAAAAAATAATGGGTTTCTTTTTACAAGACCTTATATTAGACTTTGGTGCCTAGATGGTATTAAGCACCTAGGGGACTTGCTGCGATCATTAGTTTCTAACTAAAAACTTTCCGCGTGGCTCTCTGCAACTAGGAAATTGTTGTAGTTGTAAACTAAGAGAAAAGTTATTGTGCGTGTTACTAGTATTGATTTACTATAAATACAGCTACCAAAAATAGATGCAACTACTTGTTTATATTTAGTTTTATTAACCACAATGTACATATGTACATTCTACACACATGCAAATAAAAAATTATTTTATTTTTGAATCATAAATCACATACAACCTACAGCAAACAAGTCAAAGAGCTCATGTAGTAGAATTTATGGAATGGAAAACACTAGTATGTGGCTTGAAATAAGCGGTAGGTGAGCGTCACATTCAAAATGGCCGACTGCAAAGTCAACAAACGCACACATACATACACACACACATGTACGGGTATAAATGGAAGGGAAATGAATGTGGTTCGAACAGAGCGACATGAAACTTCGCCTGGGATTGAGTGTATATCTCGCAGTGCGGCAGGCAAAAATATGCTGTGGCAAGACAATGTGGCATTTCATATATCAGTGCCGAGTTGGCATTGTGGCTTGGCATGATGCTGGAGCTGGAGATGAAACAATGCGAACAGCCTGGCAACAAACTAACTATGTTTCACGCAAGATTGCCATTCAATGAAATGCTGGGTGTGTGTATGATTATATGTTGGAATGCCATATTGCTGGTGGAAAATATCACTCGTTATATAACTGCTTGTACATGTATTATATAAACTGCTGTCAGGCGCCATATTTACAACGAAATGTTTGCATGTATGTGTGTGTATGTATTTGCGAGCTTGGCGCACACAGCTCCACCTAGTCGCTGTTGTGATTGGCCAAGCACACAGGTGGCAACCCACACCACTCAGCTAGCGCGCAAAGTGAATGCTTGTGTGTGTGTGTGCGCCTTCGTATAAGGGTATAGCTTTATGTGTGTGTGTTCTATGGACAAGCTAAACAATTGTAACTGTTGCCTGCTGTGCGCAAGCCACCCTCGCCTATTAAAAGTCATTTACATAACCGTATGTATATATGTGTGTTTGCTTGTGAGTTTGATTGTGTGTGTGTATGTGTGAGGCAATGAAAATTCCTTTGCATCGCAGCGTGCCTCTGTATATGTAGCCCACACAGCTTTTCACCACACTAGCGCTGCGCTCTTCTTCAGCGTGCGCTAGAGTGAGTGGTGTATAGCTGGTATGTTGAATTTGGCGCTCATGCTTGGCCATCACGGCAAGCATGTGTGGCTAAAAGCGATACTAAGGCTAGTTCTTCGTGCGTTGTCCTGCTGTGTGGTGTAATCGGTCCAGCGGAGCTCTCAACGTGTTAGTCAGTGTTAAAAAAAAAAATATATATAGCATTAAAAATAAAAGAATTAATAATTTAATTAAAAATACTTAAAGAAAAAGTATTGTTTACTGTTGTTATTAAACTAGAAGTGTTTATCTAAATTATAAACGAAAAAATTGAAATAATTTAGAACCGAGATCCTCGAAAATTTTCACTTTCACAGCTTGCTTTCATTATATATCTTTATATACCAAATACCTACATATACACATACACATGTTAAAGAAAGTCTATTGGAATGCTGCTGGTTTTCAATGTGCGCTACTGACTTTCCAGTGCACATTTTTCCGTCACATGCAGGCATTCGGCTGCAACAGCGCAGTGTGCGTGCGAGTGGGAGCGCTACACATATATCAATTCTATGTATATAAGCCATCACAACCCACAAAATCCAAACCCACGCTTGTTCCGTTACCCCGTTACTTATATAGGCTTCCAACCTTGCACCCACTCGCTCAACTCTCACTCGCTCGCCTTCGCAGTTCACTCCCCTCAACGCCTACAATCAGCGCGCACCTAGCTCAAATCTCAGCTTTGCAACACCGTCTACTCGTACATGCTAGCGAAATACCTAGCCAAATATGTATTTGATAAGCTGCCTTGATCTGCCATATCCACTGCCTCGGCAGTTGCTGCAGCTTGTAATCGCAACGCTCGCAGTCTTCCGTTAGAGCTCCAAACGTTTTGCTCGCGCAGCTTAACGCTCGGTTCGCGAGATGTCGCCACGGCTGCTGAGCAACTTTTAAGTTCCTTACTCTGTTATAGAACTCTTTAGTTCAGTTTTCATTTTTTTAGATTAAGTTTTCATAATTTCTTCGTGTGGTATTGTGATAAGTAAAATTTTCGACTTGAAAACCATTTAATTTTTAATAATTCGAAAATAATTTTCGCAGCGAAATCCGTTAAAAACTCCGACGCCAAAGTAACTTATCAGTAATTGTATCGATGTACCTTGTTTGTGATAAATTTTAAGTGTATTTTTTTTTTGTCTAACATAAAATATTAAAATCGCGTGGAATATAACTCAGCTAATGCGCATAAGACTACCGAAAATATATGAAGGAATGGATTATATAGAATTGAAGTGTGAGTATTTTCGAAAAAAAAATTTTTTAAAATAAAATAATAATAAAAAAATTTAAAATAAGAGACGTATAAAGCTCAAAGCCCTTGGAGTCTAAGTTGTTATATGGTATTTGTAATATGTGCCTTGATCTCGGGCTATTAGCCGAGATTGTAAAAGCTTAAGGTCACAATTGAGTAGTTACATAATTTATTTCAAGAACATAATAATTTTTATAGCGTTAGATATTGTATTCGACGGAACTTTATAGTGATCACTTAGGGTGGTAATATATTGCAAGTTTTACGAGATTTATTTCCTAGTAAAATTATTTAGCATTATTTTTTTTTTTTAATCTTCACGAAAATTCACAAATTAGAATTTTTATTTTGATTTCTAAGGTTCTGCATTAAAAATGCGTCTCCTATTATAATTTTATGTTTTGTTGAATTTTTTCCATACAAATACTTGATTTTGATCGGCCAGTTTACATGGCAGCCATTTGCCGTATGAAAAATATATTTAGAAATCGTAGCGCTGCCTTAGACATTAGTTCATGCCAAATTCCGTGAAGATCACTAATTAAATTTAAAAGCTTTTCACACAAGGACTTCATTCTAATCGTTCAGTTTGTATGGCAGCTATATCCTATAGTGTTTGGATATCGATGGTTCTGATAAATGAGCAACTTTTTGAGGAGAAAAGAACGTTTGCAAAATTTCCGATAGATATCTCAAAAACTAAGGTACTAGTTCGCGTATATACAAAACAGAGAAACATGGCTAAATTGACTCAGCTCGTGACGCTGATCATTTATATACATACTTAATAGGGTCTCCGTTTACGTCTGGGCGTTACAAACTTCGTAGCAAACTTATAATACGCTGTTGAGGATATAAAAATATTTCAATAACGAACCTATGAAGCTTTGCGTTAATTACTGTCTTGACAAAATTTTTTTGAGGAATTCTATATCTGGTCAAGACTGTTTCAAGTTGCTACACATACTAGATAAAATCAATAGTACTTTACAAATACGGAAACCAGCTGGGCCGAATATCTAGAAAAAAATATAAGCGTCAATATATTTATTATAACCACTTCCTGATTCAAAGAGCCTTTGTACTAAGTAATGCCATAGTGACATTAGTTAGTAAGGAGAGGTTTCCATCGGAGGGACTGGATTTTAAAAAGAAACTAAAACTAGCAGTGAAGTGTATAAAATGAATGAGAGAGACTAATTCTCCTATTCCTCCTTTCAAGGTCTTCCAAGACGTAATAAGTTTTTACCCTAAGTTTTTAGACTCAGCTGCTAAAAATTTTTTATTAAGCCTACAAAACTCCCCATCCTCCACTTTCTACCCTAAATTTAATTAAAGGCGTTATGATATGTAACAGACTCAGGGGACTAGATAATTTTCCAATAAAAAGTGTGACGGAAAGGTCCTAGTGAACCAGGCAAATTGCCGAATGTCAAATATAGTGTTTAAAAAGTGTGGTTTGAAAGATATTGAGTCCACCGCAATCTACCAACATTAATTTAACCTAAATCTTTTCATAAAATTACTATTTTAAAATTGAGCGATGAGAACCGGATTGATGCATTAAAAAAGCTATAGATAATGGCTCAGTTTCTATCAAGTGGCTGTCGATTATTTTCTAATTATACTATATTGTTTCGTTTTGCGCAAAATTGTTGCGGTTTCAGATAAAAATTCGACATTTATATTCAATAAGCACATACATTTTTGTGGTTTCTAGCTATATAGCTTTCTTATCTCGGTAGATAGGTTTTCTATAGAAAAGTCTTGTAGAAAATGGAGGTTTTATCTTTTAAACTTTAACCCCAAAAAAATTTGAAGAACTCTTTCGAAAGTGTCGAAAAAATTAGTAGTATGCATAGACGTTTGGCGGCAACAATTTCCGATTCAATTTTATAAGAGTACTTTGAAAAATATAACTATACTTCATGCAGTCTTACACATAAATTTTCATGACTAATTTTGAAACGCTGTACAAAATAAACAGGTATAGAGAAAATGTAAAGTTCGTTTTTTCATTGATTCGAAAAAGAACTGTTCAGCTCCAAAAAGTATGTTACGCACAACTTGAAATTGTTAAAAATTGCAATAAAATATCGCGATTTCTTGAGACATCATTAAAATTAATTATTTGAATTTCCATTCGAAGCTGTTTTCTATATTAAAAATTTCTTAGATAACATATTTGGCTTTTTCACTCTTCTTTCGCTCCCAAAACTATGCAACTATGCACAATTTTGCACAACTCATCACTTTATTCGGAGCGCATAGAGAAATTTATTAAAATAATCCGCTTATGAAATATAAGACACGAGCGTAAGTAGTTAGAGGGGAGGAAGTGCAGTAAATAAATTGCACACCACAAACTTTACCATTTGCTTATCAGTAAAAGAACACGCTTCAGTGAAATACGAAATTCATTCCGTTTTTTTTTTTGCTCTGATTTCTTTGTAGAAATGGAAAATGACCCCAAAAACGGTGACTGATGTTATTACTGCTGTCTCTGCTGCTGGTACAAAAACAAATAGTCCGACAACATACAAGCTGAGCAACAACAACAGCAAGCCAACACACAACCAATGGAATGAAATTATGAATCTTTACAAATGTTATAAAATCCAATAAAAAAATACACATACATACATTTCTAGCTACAAATGTGTGAGTACGTGCCGATGTGTGCCAAAAACGAATTGAGCTCGTAAACAGCGAATTAAAGTGAAAACTGGGCGTAGAAACGCGTTGCAAACGAAAAGTGTAGCATAACTTTAGGCGCATACATGAATTGCCGTGAAATTAACGCGCGAAGCAGATAAGCGAATTAGTGTGTAAAGGTGATGAAAAAATAAGTGGTAACGGTGAGCGCAGAGTATTGCTTAGTGGCGAGTGTGAGAAGTACGAGCGGGGGCTGTGGACCATCCATGAAGCGGTAATCAACTTTCCGTGAAATATACCGGCGACCAACCACGAGTGTACAAAAACAATAAGTTAGCATTACAAACAAACAACAACAACACCAAACGTAAGCAATCAAAGTAAAAACAGCAACAACAGCAGCACTAACAACATGAAGGGCTTAGCAGCATTTAAGGAGAAAGCAACGGGCGCTTTTAGTGGGTAAGTGGGCTTTTGCAGAATAGTACAAAATATAGCAACAAAAGCAATAACTTGAAAAGAATATGCTCACACAAAGTTCGAAATTTAATTTAACGGACCACTGACTGGTCATAGACGACAGACCACGGTCATATTGTTGGGTGGTTGCAATATGACTGAACGGCAATCAAATTTTATTTGTTGTTGTTGTTGCCGTTGTAGTCAAATCAGTGGCGCTATTTGAGTCGGCGGAAAATGAAATCATTTGTTACGGTTTATTACCGCATCGAATTCCAACCATATTTCATTTTCTTTGCGCGCCCCCCGGTAAAATTTTAAAGAGTGGAAGAGGGTTGAGGAGACTCGAAATAGAGTTGTAGATTTAAAATCAGGGTGATAATTATAATTTGGATTTGTTATGGTTAGATTTATAGGCAGCAAAGTAAATTAGATTTTGGCAGTTTTAAAAATATAAACGGTATATTTAATCGAATATGTGAAAAACTATTAATCTCCAAAATTGTATCGAGAGTACAGCATAAAATGTGTCTCTAAGATTTACTATCACAAATTAGTTTAAGAAATATATATACCGGACTAGTCCATTTCAGCTGCGCGCGCAAACCGAACGGATAACATATTTTTTCGTCGATTAGTCCAATCTTTTTTAAGTTCGATTGAAGTTTGATCTTCATACAGTAAACATACACTGGACGATATATGGAGATCGAACTTAATAAAGTCTGTTCCCGACGCGAGCAGTTGTCTGGCAATTTTTACCATGAAAAGAAAAATGCAACAATGATTTTGCTTGCTGAGATCCAATGGAGAGACGACCAAGGAGTCAATATTTTGAAAAAGTGTTATGGGGAATGTACTTTAACACGAACACAAGTATTTGGGTAACACAAAGTATTCAGTGAAGGTCATGACGTCATTGAAAAAGTCAAAACCAGTGCTTGAAAATCGTCGTGTAGATATCAGAAAGATCTCTCATGTATCAACTCAAAACATTTTGGTTAATTTGCTTAATGCTAGACTCGTATCAAAATACAAGAATCTCTTGCAAAAACGACGTGGAGTAGAGATCGCAAAAGAAATGCTACACAACGCATACCTTAGATACTTGAAAATATATTGTTTTGTCTGTATGAATCAAATATGATCAGATATCAATCGAAGGATTAGCTTTTAAAGATTAACATATTTTACACCTCATCTCGAAAGCGGATATCAGCTCAACTAGTCATAATAAAAAAAAAACATTGTCTAGTATTAAATATGCGTGCATTGACTAATTTATTAGTTCCATCTGATTTTTTTTAAACAACTTTTTTAAAAGCCATTAGCACCTTGAATCTTTAAATGAAAAAATGCATATCGTTTCAGAAGTTCTTACACTAGAGCATACTTTTCTGGTATATATTGTTCACTATTTTTGAGTGATATTTCATTATGTGCGTATAACATGCATATCTGAATATAGCTTTCACACCTCTGATAGTTTTTTGTCTTAAATATGTTATTCAACATTAAATGACCCCACAAGTTGAAAGCAGAGTTTATGAGATCATTTTTGATTTACGAAATTGAACATTCGTCCGTGACCACCTTCTAATAACAGTTTCCTGTAATTTTTAACATTTTTCAAGGGTGAAGGTAAGCATTCCATCACAACACCTATATCAATAATTACCACTTTTAATTTTCAGAGAGTTTTTTTTGCTCCGTAAACATTATTTTCAAGCAGTCCTATGGTGCTACGTTCTTAAAAATACGCCCTAAACGTATGCCTAATTAAGTAAGAAAAACAGATGTTCAACAAACTTTCAACCAAATTGTCTTGAATTTACTCTAGAGCAATTGTTAAATGGCTCAATTAGCACTTAACTGACAAAAACTTTTTGCAATTTTTCCTCAGTCGACCCTCTGAAATGAGGTCTATAAGAAGAGATCAGCGTTTGTCCGGAAAATTAAAGGTCATTGGAAGAAATGTAAGAATTTCGAAATGTGAAAAAAAGTTGACAATGTAAACTTGATAATTTTAATAAACGCTCAATAATTTATGAAAAAAAGGTTAATAATAGAAATAATGAATTACAACTAACATATTACAACTTGTGGGTCGAATCGTTACTAAACTTAACTCAACACGCTTTCTATTTAGAAATGCAAATTGCTTAAACCAAATTGTGCATATTGGAATATTAAATAAAACTAGTCAATTATTATCTAAAATTCCTCAGCTAATTGACTTGGTGCTATAATTAGATTGAGCATGATGAGTAATATACTAATTCCGTTCACTGTCAAGTACTGGATTAAGGAGTTACATGGGTTTCAAAACCAAAAAAAAAAAAAAAAAATTGTATTGTCTCATTAAATTCTATAACATATTCTAAATTGTTGTCCTAAATTCTCAAGTTGATCTCAATAATAGTTTTGGATATACAGCTTTGAAAAGTTGCGCGCTCGAGATCAATTATATAGTCATTTAAAACTTTAGACCTCAAACCGCGTCATCTAGACTTATCTTTAATATAAAATGTCTCGAAGAGGTATTTTCAAATCCAACACAAAATTTAGATGCTTAGAAAGGTCGTAAAGGTAACCACTTGCCATGACAACCAAAGTTTAAGCTCTACGCACAACTCTCTAATGCAGATCTCTTAGCAAAAAAAGTCTATGCACAAAAAGCCCATTAAATCCGTAAGAATACTAAAGGTCCGTATGTGTTTGTGACGCCGGAAAGTTATAAAATTATTGACATACCAATAACAACTCAAACCCAGCCGATAATTCAACGAAGTCAACGAAGGACAAGTCGATGACATAAGCAAAAATTGAGAGTGGTTTGTGCCGCAAACAAAAACTCGAAGAAAAAAGTACGAGGAAAAGATAAGAATCGAATTATGAACGTAGACATTCCAAGCGTATGACATTGAACGCGCTGGCATGCCGACTATGCAACGCGGTGCACGCCATTCAGTAATACATAGATGAGTGCGTCGCCAGGAGGCGTTGATGTCTCGCACTTGTGGAGCCGGAATTCCGGACACGTTCCATGCACGTGCAACCAGGATGAAGCCGAGAAGAAAGTGCGCGCGCTCAACGGAAATTTTTATGAAGTGCGAGCTTTATGAGCTCTCAACTCTATTTGCTAGGTAACAGAAGCTGCGTAGGTGTTGTGGGTATGTGATTTTGTTAAATGGCGTTGGTTGCAGTAGGAATGTAATTTAGAATAGCAAGCGATATATTTAGCTGGTGTAATTGGACAAAATTTATTGAATGGTTTTACAGGTGAAGCGCAGATTTTGTAGTACACGGCGTGTTTTGCCTAAATAAAAAGTATAAAAAAAAGAAAGTATACTTATGATTATAGTGCGGTAGTGGTCTATATTGAAAATAAGAAACTTATTTCAGCATAACAATAAAGCGTTCATCGATAAACATAAGAGGACAGAAAAACGCGCTTTTCTGTGAATTTTTTCAGATGTATTTTATTTAATAAATATATAATTAAATGTACATCTATAAAATTTAATGTATCTCTACAGGAGAATTTCCGAAAATAGGTGTCTGGCGGTGAGAAAAATTATTCTACTTGAAATTCTTTCAAATTCAGAACCCATAAAAGTGTATTGTTACTTAAGATGAATACAGGTAAGGATCAAAGGACCAGTCAAAATTTTGATTTCTGATAAAATTGAGGTTTCCCAAAAAAATATTTTTTTGTAGCAAAATTATCAAAAATCGTATTCCTTCGATCATTAACGACAAACTTATCGAAGATGGTCGTGCGAAAACTTCAAGTTGGTTCAGCCAAACCAAACATTCCAAGCTTTCACTTCGAATTTAAGGGAAAAATTAATAGCAATATTCGTTTATGTTTATGTACTACTCAAGTACCTTGACTTTTTTTAAAATCATTGTAGGTTTTCTTTTGATTAGAAAACTGTTTTTTTCTGCACTTCAACCGATGGGGTGAAACCACAGCCAGAAGGTTTTCACAAATTTACTTTAGTATTTGCAGAAAAGGCCGTTTGTTGATCATATTAAGTATACATCAGTGAAGCAGTAGCTAACAGATATTCAAAGTAATTACGAAAGGTTAGCTTAAAATGTGACAGTTCTGAAACTAACCGCTCACAGAGCTTTTGTTCAATAATTGCCCAACCATAATTCCTCTAGAAAAGATGGTATTCAGGCTGATCTGTAAAGAAAACTTTATGGTAGTCCATCGGCGCATTTCGCGTAACATTTGAGGGCATTAAAGAAGAAATAATAATTCCTAGTAGTTGATTAATGGCGATATTTTCAGAGGATTGACAGGTCAACATATATAGGGTGGTTGTGAGAGCTTTCTAATAACAGCTTCAGCAATATTCATAAATGTATACCCTATTCCAATCACATCTCCCTTAACTTGGTCAGCGGTTTGAAGACTACCTTGTATTGTCTGATTCTTTTGCATTTTTTTGCTAGATAATAAGCACATTTTATTCTAGGGATGTTAGCTCTAGACTTTATCTCATCATTATTAGAGTTTTAGCCGAGATTTTAACCCATGATCACGCTGTCTTAGTATAGAATTCGACTACGGTGGCCTTATGCTTTGAATTTAGATAAATTGTTTTCAGTTTCAAGCGAAGTCGCGTGCAAAAATATGCGATCCTTGCTTATACGTGGTCGTAGAGTTCTTCAAAGGAAAAAGCTGGGGCTACTATTGGGAGAGCAGATGTTGGCTTGTGAAAGGCTTGCTTAGTTGAGAATACTCACAGTAGTTTTTGTATGAAGGCCGACTTTGACAACTGGAGCTTGTGAAAGCCAATTTCGAATTTCGATTTCAAAATCTTAAACGCACTCTCTTCTATATACATAATAACCACTGGACTTATAGAAACTCTATGCCGGTGCGGATAAATCGGTTGTGAACTGGAAAAAATTACAGTATGTAGAAACCGGATATAAGAACTCACTGATTCTAAGAATTATTATTTTTCATATTAATCATAGTTTAC